TTGTCTCTGCCCCCTCCCCTCCCCGACCACCCCACCCCCTCCCCGCCAAAAAAAAAAGAGAGAAAGAAGGGAAAGGGAAAGAGGAGAACTAAAATGAAACACAAAAGAGGAAGAAGAAAAGAAAAGGGTGAAAAGAAGCAGAGATCAGTTGCGATTAATCCCACCAAAATCGCGTGGATCGGGGGGAGGGGGCGAAGGGCCCCTGCCACCCTCAGCAAACTTAAATGAGAGAGAGAGAGAGAGAGAGAGAGAGAGAAAGAGAGAGAGAGAGAGAGAAGTAAGAGAAGTGAAAGGGAAAGAGGAGAGAAAGGGACAGAAAACAAAGAGGAAGAAAAGACAAGGAATTAGGGAAGATCAGTTGCGATTTTCATTGGTTCTTCTATCATCATTTTACAATTATCATTGTACAAATGTATTTATATTTTCATTTATTTATTCCTGTTTGATAACAAAAATATGAATATATAAACTCATAAACTCATAACAGCAACAAAATTAAATGTAGGAGGAAACTATCTTGCTGGGAGCAAGAAGCGCAAAAATTATCATGCATTTGCATGTACATGTCAGTGTATCATTAATATAATTCATATTGTTTAATTACATCTTGTGAAATAGTATGCATTCAAGCTTTGGGGATTTTTTGTTGGTGTATTTGTATGAAAGAAAGCGTTTGGAGCTTATAATGCACATGTTGCAATTTCAGGTGCAACTTAGTGTTCACAATTAAATATGGAACACGCACGGCCAGGCACTAGTGTAGGAAATCTTCAAATGTTAATCAGGTATATGACTAAATTACTTGTCTGTTGCCTTACGAAAAAGTTTATATTTAGTCAGGCCTGAATTGAGTCGCAAAACAATTACTATTTAAAAAAAAAAAAAATATTTGATGACATTCGAAATTCCCCAATAACCAATACGATTGGAGAGCGAGTACTCGTTTTTGTTTTTCTTCAAAACTTACTCAACTATAAATAGCTGGCCCGGATACTTGAGCCTCTCACAAAACGCAAGTATAGGCCTGATGTGTCGTCAGTGGCGTCGCTAGTCCTTTTTCAGTGGGGGGGGGGGGGGGGGGGGGATAGAGGTCAACGATTCCCGACAAAACAAGCCACCAATTAATTACCGACAAAATTAAATGTTCCAATATCTACAAATTTAACCCTATAAACCCGGGGCCAAAGGCTAAATTGTTATGCACAAATGGTCATTGTCGTCGACGACATCAATATACAAATTATTACGTCAACTTAGTAAGCATCATAGCTATATATTTTAATGCAGGCGCGTAGCTAGGATCTTATTTCAGGGAGGGGCGGTATTGAGCAAGCGAATCACTTAAAGAGTGCGCAAAGCGCTCCCTAGGTGGGGGAGGGGATGGGTGAAAGGCATCCCGCGCGAAGCGCAGTAGCTTAGATGTTCCATTAAATTATTATGAAAAAAAGACGATTTGTTGTACCGTTCTCGACTCTTAATCCTTGTCTGAATTCAGTTTCCCAATCTCACACGAAGCGCGGAGGCTTAGACGTTTCATTAAATTATTATAGAAAGAAGACAATTTGTTGTATACCGTTCTCTACTCTTAACCCTAATTGTCTGAATTCAGTTTCTCCCCCTCTCGCGCGAAGCGCGGGAGCTTCGACGTTTCATTAAATTATTAGAATAAGAAGACGATTCATTGAACCGACTCTAAATCATTGTCTGAATTTTCAAAAATGTTTCTTTGTCCGATAAAAAGTCACAGTTCTAAGGGGAACAAATTGCTGGCCGACCGACATAAAAAATACCACCGACTTCAACCCCACACCCCCCCCCCCCCATTTAGCGACGCCCCTGAATGTAGAGTGGCCTGAGCGGGTAGGTACAGGGCGTGGTTCTAAACTTACAGAGACACTTCGATGAAGACACCTTTATTTCATGATTGCGTGTGGTGAACTGCCATATGGGCTTTACAACTTTAAACCTCCAGGGTTTATTTTGCATAATTATATAGGGATTTACATGATCATGTATATAATATAAGGAAATAATGAATATTCAAATATCATAGGTAGCAAATAAAGGATGACTAACAGAGGAATGAAAACAAACAGACAGGAGAGGATGATCAAGCATAATGATGTGCACCACTCTATAAATGTGAATTACTAAGTAGCCTGTTCACACTACAGCTCTACAACAACAAAGCATTTGTAGCCTTACTTTTAAGCAGTTGAAGAAATTAATAAAAGTAGGCCTACTTGAAGAAATCGTTGAATTATAAGATATTCAGTTTATTTTATTAAGTATGACAAAACACACATTTAACACCTTTGGAAAAAATAATACCCCAGGAACGTGAAAAACAAAACTTTTATTGTCACACATGCCTATAATCGGACATATTTAAAAACGGAAATGTGGCACCACCCACAAATATAATTCTGAGATCCTTCTTTGTCTTTAATTTGCACCTGAAAATAAATTCTTTGTTCCTCGTCTATGTCATCGCGGCGAAAAATTTCAGACTTTTCTTCTTTTCATGCAGCCTCAGACAAATGTGCCAAAGAAGTTTTGTCTTCTTGTGTTCCTGGAAACAAAGTTTGGGCAATAGTTTTCAAGTTCAGTTTATCTTTACGAGATTTATTATGTGTAATATTAAGCTTTGGTTGAGATTTCTTTGGGTCATTGTACTTATCAGAGAAGTTTTCAAGACAGAGAATGTTCTCTCGCAAGTTGCCGTTGTAACCGGGATTGTAAGGTAAATGAGAAGAAGGATGTGCACCTCTGAGAATGATCTCTTATAGATTGGACTGTTGTTGAAAATCTCACAGATTGTTTTAATGTATATTTGATAGGTTTACTCTCATCGTCGCACACGTCTTGGAGGCTTGTTAGCTGCCGAGTTAATGCTACAATATCTCCGGCATACACTTCCCTCAACTCATAAGCACGAACAAAATATTGGGGAGGGGGCTCATGATAACCGAGCCCGGCCGAATTTTTTTTTTTTTGGGGGGTGGCTCAATGATATCCGGGCCCCTCAAAAATATCAGGGGGGCTCCGTGATGTTATCCGAGCCCCATCAAAAACACTTGAGGGGGGGGGGGGGGGCTTATGATATCTGAGCCCCACCAACATATGGGGGGGGGGGGGGTTAAATGATATCCGAGATCTACCAAATATATTTTTTGGGTCAATGATATGCGATATCCGATGTCTGAGCCCCCCTCTCTCCTCCCTAAATAAATATTTATAAAATGTTTATATTTGAATGGTACGTCTGTAGATTATAGGTATACATGAGTTTCATGCCTAGAATATAATCATTGGGGAGGAGGGGGGTTCATGATATCCGAGCCCCGCAATAAGTCTCGGGGGCGGCTCAATGATATCTGAGCCCCACTTAAAATATTGGGGGCTCAATTGTATCTTAGCCCCTAAGGACTCAATGATATGTAAGCCCCACCATCAATTAATGATATCTATAAGCCCCGCCAAAAATATTGGGGGGGGGGGGGGGGGGCTCAATGATCTCTGATCCCCTCCAATATTTTTTTTTTGGGGGGGGGGGGGCTGCGCCCCCAATCCCCCTCCCCCCGGTTCCTAAGCCTAATTACAGTTCAATGAAGTCTATTTTTTTAAACTTAAAGGGATTGGGTAACTTTGTTTTAGGTTCTGAAACAAAAAAATCCTGGAATGATAGTTAGGGCTAGTTCTGATCGGATAACGACCCAAATATCGGAGTATGGCTAGCTGCCCCAGGGCCTTTTCCTATATACGGATCAGAGAAAAAATACTTTAAACATTTCGGGGTTACTTTTATGACTTTCGGGGGCTCTTTTTGGCATTTCGGGGGCTAATTCACCCCGAGCCCCCGTGTATTTTTCCTCCTGATACGGATAAGTGAGTGCCCTGATGGGTCTACTTCTAACTCGTGTTTTTAGCCCTCCTTTCTTTACTTTTTCCTTTCCTTTCTTATTTTTCAAAGAGGGGGGGGGGGGGGGGGCGGGTCCATCGCCCCCCGTATATCCGCGCCTGAGTGACACCCACACAACTAACCTTATTTATTACCGAACAAAAAACTGAAGAAAGAGCCCCTCGACACCATAGGTGTAAGTATTTTTCTATTTTTTTTCTAATTTGATACCAGTGATATACAGATGTTGCTGAAATAACCTAATTTTCCGGGATTTTTCCTCGCTTTTTAGTAAATTATACTTTTTATGCGTTTGTTGGAGAATGACATATATCACAATTTACAGTCAGGCAGTGCTTAATTACTATTCAGAGGCCGACATGTCAGGTCCCGCAGAACGGCGGGCTTGGGGGCTCAAGCCCCCCCCCCCCCCCCCCTCCCACCCCCACACTTTTGAAAAAGTATATTAAAGAGAATTAAATAGAAAGAAATAGAAAAGAAAGTATGCTCATGTAACCGTAATTAAATGCCCATACCCCTGAGCTATTTCCGGGGGCTCTGCCCCCTGGACCCCATCTTGGGCCCTAAGGCTGGCCCCTGGATGCTAATCTGACCTTAATTGTAATGCCTAAAACCCCTGCGCTTTCGGGGGCTTCGCCCCTTGGTCCATACGCCAATTAGTGACCTGCCGGTGTCATGAATATGGTATTAAAATATGCTCATCTGACCGTAAGTACGAAGCCACGTACAATCGATTACAACAGTAATTGTGGGGCCAATATCACGAGTATGCCTTCATAGAATAAATGTTTTAAAGAAAATATTCACTTCTACTTTCAAAAGGACTGGCCCATTTGCTTTAAAAAATTGTAGAGAGTTATTATTATGTAATTTCTAGAAAAAATGCCAACCACATGATTTACAATGAGTCTAAATACATTGATTTGCCGAGTTTCTTCCTTTTATCAATACAGTAAAACAATGGGGGGACAGACTGCGCGGATAGCAATCCGTGCGAGTCACGGACGATCCGTGCGAGCAGAAAACCCGCATATTATGTCCGACGGACAAACGAAACTGGTAGGACAAACGGCGCGGTCACACCGGTCACATCGGTCACACCGGCCTCGCCTGGGTGCACTGACATGATCAGCTAGTGATTCGCATTTGAGTTTGGCGCAATGGGGAACTTTGAGTGGCCATGGCAGTATGAATTTCCACCATTTTTCTCGTAAGATTGATTCTTGTATTATGTCTTTCTCAAATTCGTAGTGAATTCTAATCATGCTTCTATGGTTCAGATTGTGCGAAGAACGAATAGTGAGATAGGTGAAGGATTCGTGTATTTGGGCGGTGAAACTGTTAAGGGTCCCATGTGTTTAGCTTTGTGTCGTCTAGACTCTAGGCCTATATTTTGGTTGTATTCAAGCTAGCCTGAATCACACATAGCTGCTTTACTCTCTGGCTGTGTATTAAAAGCTGATTTCACTTAAAATCGGTACGTTAGTGACGATTGATGACACCTAAATAGCAGTAAAATATAATTTTGTTCAACTTTCTAAATCAAATTGTGAGTCCACTGTCAAACTTGCTGATCAGCCGCAGGCCGTATCGGCATGATACATCTGAATTTTATGAGTGTATTGACTATTCATGTATTCAAATGCTGCCTTTTAACACGTAGTGCGTGCATTAGTGCACAAAGAACTTTGCGCATTGGGCGCTGTAGGGCCGATCCGGTTGAGTGGCTACTAATTTAGGTGAGAGAGGGCCTTCTTAACTTAAGCGCAACTTAAGTTCAATGGCAATGTCACTAATTACGTCACACCACAGAGATTTTGACATGTCATGCTTTAAACGGGTGACGCACTTCACACATGACTGACGCACACATGAAATTGCACACACATGAAATGGAAAAATCAACGAACATTTCATAATAAATTTCCAGTTTAAACCGAAAACGAAAATGAGAATTGTTAAAACTTGAAAAATAGTTACGTAAGACTTAAACTTAAAGTGAAATACTTAACCTTTTAAGGATGCTGAAAAAAACTGTAACAAATAGAGGGTTTGACTGGAATATCATAATTTTGGTATCGAATAAACTAATAAAGCGAAAAATCGCACAATTATCTTATAACATTGAGTGAATGGAAGCCAGCGCACATAGAACTTTAGCTTACATTCAGCGCATGCGCAGAACGTTCATCCGATCTCAGCGAATTGCAACCTCATTTTACTAAATTGGCGCCGACAAGGGCCCTTCTTATTGGCTTATTGGGTATTTTAAGTCTTGTTAATTTGAATATTTCAAACACCTGCCCGTCATGCCTGTTCTATGGTAATTTATTACCTATTTTTTTTCTTCTTCAGATTGCAACCAAATTTGGAAACGAGGAAAAAGCAGCTACTAGCTTGGTGTGATCTCTTTTTAGCATTTCACAAACACCATAGAATATACACAGTAGATCTGAAGGAAGCAGCAAGCAGTGAATTATTTAACAATACAAAGCTCAACAGTATCCTTTCAAAAAATTTAAAATGATTGTAGAACAAAATATTGAATCTTTTCAATGATCTTTAGAATAAGTATATGTTTCTAGATTAAAAAAAAAACTTATGTGCACTGTGCAGTTTGTATTTCTACTTTTTTTTCTTCCTTTATTTCCCTGTGCTTTAATATTATCATTATTATCATTATTGATATTATTATGATGATTATTATTATTATTATTGTCATCATCGTTCTTGTTATTATTTGAACAGATTGGTAGAACAGGCTCCATGCTTGACCAGGTAGCTGATGAAAAATGTATCTTTGTATCATGTTTATTTTGAGCCATTTTTGAGCTGGCTAAGCTGTTTTGTTGTTGTTGTTTTGTTTGTTTGTTTCATTCCTTAACCTTTTGACTTCAGGGAAGTTGTCAGGAGAAGGAATATTGTTAGTCTTGGAAGAATTAAGGCAGAAGGGTAAGTACTGATGAGATAGAACGTTCTTAAGGCACATTCAGAATTTCAAACATGACAGATAAGCATCATGTGGTGCAGTATATATATATATATATTATTGATTCGTAAATATATATATATATATATATTTATTTATTTATAATGAGATTTGTAACTGTCCTGCACTTGATTTGTCTGTATCATTAGTTGGTATGTGTAAGGGCAATTATTGTTATTAAAAGAGCCTAGGTTTTTAATAATAATAATGATATTAAATTGTTTCTTTTATAGCACTTTATGAAATTATCAACTGATCAAAGTGCTTTACAAAACAAATACATCAATGAATTAAAACTAAACAAAAATATGATAAAAAATTTAATGCAATTAATTACAATGTAAAAAGGTGTGTTTTGAGATGTTTATTAAATACTTCAATTGACACACTACAGCGTAATTCACAAGGTAACCTATATCATTTAATATTTATTTTTGCCATTTACTGTTAGGAGTAAAGTGGATTTTATTTGATGCATTATTTCAAAATCTTAAGGAAGTTCATTGCATCATATCTGAAAGCATCTTTATTGATTCGTAATGCGTAAAATATGACAATAACTTGACAAGAGATGGATCGTCTTGGCTACCTGGTAGGAACAATTTCCAAGAATGCTGAGAGCATGCAAATTGATAGTCAGGGTAGTGTTTGAGCACCTTGGGAGTATTTTATGTGGTGAAAGGCAGTTTACAATCAAAGCCAATATTTTTTAAAATTTCATATGACTATTTCTACCTGCAGGAAACATTGAATGGACAGATAAAGCCAAGACCAGATGTCTGGTAATGTGGAGGACACCTGAAGAATGGGGAAACCTCATTTATAAATGGGTTAGTATTCTATCTTTGATCATGAACAAAAAGACAGTGTTTTGTGGTATCAAACTTAACAATGCCTGATCCCATTTTGAATTTCAAGGAGAAAACTTAGCTAATATGAGAAGGAAATGTTGATACACATTGTTAGATTATTGACAGTTGAATCTGCCTACAGCACTGTAACATACATGCCAACCGTTCCGATTTTAACGGAACTGTTCCGTTTTTGAAGTTTTTATAGCCCTAAAAACAGAACGTTCCGATTTTGGGGAATTTGGCTTTCCATGCATAGCATTGATCCGATCGAGTGCTGAACGGATTGCATTGCGCAAGGTGCATGCAGCGTGCACTGATATGTACGTACAGTGCAGTGGCAGCGTGTTGCTGCGCGCCACGTGCACTCTGATATGTGTTTCCGTACGTAACATGTCCGTACGTAAATACTTGCGCTGGCAAATCTCATAAGTATAATTTCTATACGTTTGCATGCGCATATCAGCATGCATGCATTCGCTATCGCGGCTAGCGCACCGTATATGCATAGGGTCCCCATGCAAAGTACGTGTTTCGACTTTCGAGGTACCGTATACTTTGTGATCTGTGATTTGTCTCGGAAGAAAATCTGTCAAAATGAGAGGAACAGCAGCAAGACGAATTCAGAAGTACAAACAGGAATACAAGGAACGATTTCCCTTTATTAGAGCAAGCACAAAAGGGGAGGAATATGCATACTGCTTTTATTGTCGGCAAGATGTCTTGTTCTGCTGACATTGATTTTGACAACCTCATTTACATGTAGCTCAATGAGTTACAATAATTTTGGATTGTTGACTGTTGTCTGGAAAGTTGAATACCATTATTGCCAGTCTCATTTTATGCATAGATCTATGTCATGTATAATTATTTAAAAAGTAACTAGACTTAAATGCATCACTCTGCATGAGTGGCTAATTAAATCTATGTCTATTATCTGCTCTGCCTCTGCCAAGGATAAATTAAAATGTGGAATTCACTTCAATCACTTTTTTGTTTGGTATGACACAAAAATTACCCACAAACTTGGGTTGAATTTTAGGGGAAATGGTCCCTAAAATAGGCTCAGATTGAACCAGAGAGCATCTGGAAACCCAGAGCTTCCAGGGCCCTAAAGCGGGCCCTGGACCCCGGCTAAAAGGACTTCGCGCTCGTGATGTGCGCTTCGCGCACATAGTGTACAGATTTCTGATTTTCAAATGTTGGCATGTATGCTGTAAGGGCTAGAACTACTTTAAGTTGTTTTAAATTGTTTCTGTAAAACCATTTGATAAATATTCAGATCATGTAATTGAATCTTAGACATTTTTGTCTTATTTCAATTTTGTTCAGGCCGGCAATAGTGGAATGACCAACACTGTATGTACACTGTACGAGATTGCACAGGGAGAAGACACCACAAATGAAGGTATGTATGACTTTGAATGAATAAACAAGAGTTTAAAAAAAATGGGGGAAAAAATGAAATGAAATGAAATGAAATATGCTGACCTACACTGAAGCATATAACATCTTGTCTTCAAGCATATCTCCCCTCCCCCTCCCCATCCAACACCCCATCCCACTCCCCCTCCCAGATTGTTAGAACATTTCACTCGATTTAATTTTTGAAATTTGAAATTTACCAACCAGACTTTGGTTTGATTAAGTTATTAGTTTTATATGTATATTTACTATTTATAGTGCATGAATAAAATATAATTTACCTTTGATTTTATCTTCCAGAGTTCCATGGACTAGAAGACTGGCTGCTGAAGAGATCATTGAAATGTCTAGAAAGAGGAAGGAAGGCAGAACTAATGGCCTTTGATGGGAATGAAGGAGTTAAATTCTTCTGAACATTGATTTCTTATAAAGCTATGTGAAGTCACTCATGAATAGCTAGAAGGGCATTAATGCCATTTAACTGTTTATGAGTTAATGCCCTTCTAGTTCTCAGCTGGAAAAAAATCTCAGTGGGCATTTATGGACTGGAAGTGATGATTTGCTTTAAGCCTATCTACACTGGTTTGACCAGAAGGGATTAGACCTCTCTGCGTGGTCACTGGCAGGTGGTTATCTCATCAACTCAGCTCTCAACTAACATAAGAAAAGGGGACCATGGAGGATCAATGGGTTGTCTGTATAGAGGAAGCAAGTAGCTACAAGTAGTGTAGTCCTGCTTTAAAGACCTTATCCTATGAAAATGCAACTTTATATCCATAGAAAGCTGAATGAACCTAGAATACAAATATAAAGGAGTAACAAATATTTTCCCTTTCAGTGTTGCACTAAAGCAAATAAAAGCCTTCAAATTACAGGTTAATATGGGTTTGACGCAGTTACGGTGACGACATAACACGTCCACCCGATCGGCTCGCCTATATAGCTGAGGCCATGAGCCATGCTTAATTAATGCAAAGTCATTGTGAATATGCATACTCCACGATGTCATCAGGTCAATGTTTTTTTTTTATGGTGAACAACTTCTGATTTTCCAAAGCTTCAGATTTTTTTTAAAGGGCTGTCATTGCTCTGACAAACCATAAAATAGCATATAACTGATCTTATTGTTATCTTTGGCTTATAAGCTTTCCATTGATATGTAATTCATCTATTGATACTTTCCCTTGCACTCCAGCTCAAGATATAATATGCTTTAACACACTATAGATATGAAGACAATTGATGATAATAGAGAGGGATTGACAAATACTTAGCATGAGAGAAGAAACATGGAATGCTGCAGTTTTTTAACATACTTTTCTCTCATATTTTGATTTGTCATAATTGCATTGCCAAACGAAGTAATCACATCACCTACAATCTGTTGATGAATGATTATGATGTGTTAAGTTTAGTTAGTCTTTATCTTGGTCAGATATCAGTGTTATCTTTCCTTTTCCCTCAGCCCAAAGAAAACTGGCACGACTTCTTCCTCCTGCCTATGATCCAGGAAAAGCGAAAGCATCATGAAGCGCTTCGTAGTCTTCGAGGTGGCTACAGAGCTGGTGTAGAGGCACCTAAGAAACCAATGAAGATCACGGGTGTTCCATCAGGAGTAGCTCTAACACCTGGCAGTAGCAACCAGAGGATACTCTGTGACATTTCGCTTGGGTCAAAGGGCAAAGGTCGAAGCATTGGAGAACGGGGAGACATCCCTCAGGTCCCACCCTTGGGGTAAGTGATACTGAGTTTGTGCACTGTCGTGTGCATTGGCGGTAATAGTACAAAATGTAATTTTTAAGAAGAACGATGAAAATTCCTTGGACTGACAAAGTTAGTAATGAGGAAGTTCTTAGAGGAGCTGGAGTGCAAAGGAAAATGATACGTGAGATGTTGATTAGGCATTTAGAGTTCATGGGTCACATTACTCGTAAAGAAAGCCTAGAGAATCTTGCTTTGACAGGAAAAATTGTGGGAAGAAGGAGGATACCTTGGATGGACAGTCTGCAGAAATTGTTGGAAGAGAGAGGAGTGAAAGAACTGGGAGTGGCACTAATAGAGAAGGCTAGGAGCCAAGGGTTGTGGAACAGCATGATCGCCAAAGTGAATCGATATGGCACTTAGAGAGAGAGAGAGAGAGTAAGAATCAATTCTATGGGGAATCTCCAGGTAGATTCTTTATCAAAAAATTATGTGTTACTGTAGAAATTCATTTCAGTCTGTTTGAAAACATGTTTCGAAGACAAAGGTTAGAGTGAGATAAAGACAGTTCTGTAAAGACATTTTAAAGTTAATACTTTCTAGCATCTCTTCCTTACTCAAGAAACATCTCCATTTCTCTCTCTTTTTTCTCCCAAACTTCCTTTTCATCTTTCCATCCTGTTTAGAAAGCAAGGTGTGACAGGCTATGGTGCATTACAGATGACTTGGTCAAACATGGTTCCACGATACACTGCCCAAACACAGGAGGGGCACTGTGTAACCATGGGAAGCAGGAGGCGTGACTTGTCTCTGGGGACGGCACAGAGAAAAGGAAAGGATTGGACAAAATATGAAGCAAACAAGAAGATCTGGCTGAGAACACAAATGCTCTATCCATCACTTTTCGCTCTCCAGGAGATAGATTTCGTCAAAAGAAGGTGAGATTGGTTGTTGGTTCTATGACACTTGGGGAGTGTTTCACAAAGACTAAGATCTACTTTAAGTTCGACTTACCTATGTCAGGCTGTTCATGCCACTGTTTGCTCTCACCCTTATGATCTTTAGATAATATTTTTTCCTTCAATAATGAATTATCAACAAATGTCAATTCTGTAGATTTGTGACTATGATAAAGTCCCTTGAGAGACCAATGCCAGTGAATGGTGAGAGCATACAATAACATAAAAGGATAAAAGGAACCAGAAAATGGCATGAATTCTATTAAATCGAGTCTGGTATCTTTGAGCATATGAAGAACACCGTTCAGATCAAGACAGGAGATTTCTGGCAAAGAATTATGGTCTGTTTTATACCATCTCATTTTTGTAGACTGAGTGAACCTCACCCAACCAAGAAAGGTAATGTGTTTCAGTGGGAGACACCGCTGCCTATGGTTTCATTTAAACCCACAGAGAGACAAGTTGAGGAGCCAAAGAAGCCATGTCGTATGTGTGATCAGGTGAGAGGCTAAAACAAGGGTGTCTACATTATATTCTTTGCATGGTGATGACTTGATGAGAGGGAGAGATAGAGAGACAGGAAGGGAAGAGATAAAGCAAAAGAAGAAGTTTTAAATTAATTTGATTCCACTTTTACGAAAATAAATTGTGATTAACATTGATACAAATTTCTACAACACTGATAACAAATGTAAGATTACTTTTTTCTTTGAGAAAAGCATTGCTACAAAATTATGACAAAGATAAGAGAACAATTTTCTGGTCATGTGCTGAGAGCCAGAATGATATTAAATTGTGTTCTTTCATATTACACATGTAATCTGAACACTATTTTGAGAGGAAATACACGAGGGTACTAAAATCGCCCTTGAGTTGATTGTTTAAAAGTCTTAAAAGTCTTCTTATATAAAGGTAATCAACTTTATAGTGCATCTGTGTTTACATTTCCCTTCTATTTTCAATTTGCCATATATAGGAGCGGCAAAAAATGGCGACCAGTCTCCCATCCATCATCCAATCAGAGAACAGGGAAGACGTCCCCATCGTCCCTTGGAATTCTATCGCATCGACCTGTGACCCCTGGACTCTACCGAAGATTAAAATCCACAAGAAGCATGCGAGTGATGGAGTAAAGACTGTGCAGCAGCAGCCACTGGCAGAGATCACTGCCCAGTCATAGTACAAGCCCCTGGAACCCTTCCTCTATCAAGATCAATGATGGTGTGTTTTCCTGCACCAAGCTCCAAGCACAAAAGGATTGTGAATCAATACGACTGGATGTCAACCATAAAGGCAACATCATTGCAGCTGATTACAGAACAATACCAAGAGCTATTAGGACTGGACATTTAGCGCTAATAGTTCGAATTACTACATATGTATTGTAAAATAATACTGCACCAAATTAATTCTCAAAGATGATGATAGGAAGACTGATTTGTATTCACATAGTGATTTTAATTTCAGAATTTGGACTCAGCCAAAATACTTATCTCTGAGACAGTTTTCACATCATTGGAACACTCTGTGCTCTTGATATTCTTCTCTGAAATATTAGAAATGCTAAAATTTGATGGCCACTCATGAAAACCAAACTTCCAGAATAATGTAAGTTCCTTGTATTTATATTACATGAATACAATTAGAACAATGTTTTTGCTTAAGTAGAGAATAATTTTTTTTTTAAAATAGGGAATTTGTTAGTGACAAAATGATTCTGTGATGGGGGTTTAGTACAGACATTTTCTTTGTGAAAATACCTTGAATCATTGAAAACAGTTTCTTCAATCTGTTCCCATAAAAGAATATCTCTTAAAATGCAACTCTACTTAGAAATTATAGTTGCTCCAATTTGTGGAAATTTATGTGCATGCACAAAGCTGTTTTTCTCAATACTTGCTCAGTAAATATGACACAGAAACCCAAAATAAAGTAGCATAATTGATATTGCATCTTGCTGATATTTGTCTGTTGTGTACGAGTGTAGTTGTTCATATTAAGTTGCAGATAATCATGAAATTCATTAAAATTTTGTTTCATGTCACATAGTTTATTTACAGTACAGTACACAATGTTAAGTTATGGTTCAATGTATGCCATTACTTCCAATACTAGTGGAAAATATGACGGGGTAAACCTCAAGATGAAAAGGATGAAATTTGTCTAATGTGTGTCTCTGGATTTGTCTTTAACATGCATAGATCACCTGGAGCATCCCTCCTCCACCTCTCTCTCTTCTCTCCCCCTCCTCCACCTCTCTCTCTTCTCTCCCCTCTCTCTCTCTCTCTCCTCTCTCCCCTCCCCCCATCTCTCCCTCTCTCTCTCTCTTTCTCTCTCTCTCCCCCCCCCCATCTCTCTTTCTCCTGTCTCTCTTCTCTCCCCCTCTCTCCCCTCCCCCATCTCTCTCTCCTCTCCCCTCCCCCATCTCTCTCTCTCTCTCTCTCTCTCTCCTCTCCCCTCCCCCATCTTTCCCTCTCTCTCTCTCTCTCTCTTCTCTCCCCCCCCCCCTCTCTCTCTCTCTCTCTCTCTCTCCTCTCCCCTCCCCCATCTCTCCCTCTCTCTCTCTCTCTCCTGTCTCTCTTGGTCTTTCTTCCTCTCTCTCGAGCCGTCAATAAGAGAATGCTGAGACCCACAAAGGTGTGTCAGATTATAAAAAGTTGAGGGCAACTCCTTTGTTGCGGACAAATTCAAGACTGTCTAGAAAATTGGCCATAATTCCATAAAAAAGGATCGTCTTTGCAACTCTTGGACATAAGTGTTATAGTAAACAGCACAAAAGAGGAACCAAACTTGTTCATATTGAAAGGCACAACCAATTTTAATCTACTTCAAGACACATGATTACAAAGTGATCAAGGCATTTGATAGAATTCATACATATTATTCCTAAAATTCAGTACTTATAAAATATTCACCAACTCTAGTTTTTCTTTTCTCTACTGTCAGAGTATGAATTGACACTCACTGAGAGGGCCAATGTACTAAGGACAGGGTACAATATTATAGTTCTCTCTGTGAAGAAAAGCAATGTTAACCCTCATAGAAAAAAGGCATGTTATTAAGCTATTTTTTTTTAATGAGAACTTTCTGTGATACATTTATTTTTTGTGATTTTATCAATCTGTTGAGAGCCAGTAGTGCTTTGACTCCAAAATGTAAAAGTAAACATCCTCCTGGCTCCCAGAATAAAAGAAAAGCTTAATTTTACAAAATTAAATTCATAAAGAGCCCCCCCCCCCCCCCCCACCCTCAACAAAAGAAAAGGAAATCTTCTTATATTCACTTAAAAGTTACAAGAATATTTGGAAAGCACTGTTATCCTAATGTTAAAATATAGTTTCCTCTTTACCATTGCAAAATGGCGAGTAATGGCATTGTACCAAATTGTGCAAATCTTTAAAAGTGAAAATCTGAGGTACATGTGTAATACTTTTTTTCAAATTCAGGATCAGTTGTGATTCATAATGAAATAAAAAATGACTAACATTTCTGCATAGACAAGATAAAAATTAAAAATAGAAAATAATTGCTTTTGATATGCATAGTAGGAATGTGCATGATAGCAATGAATATTGAAACAGTACTTTGACGAATCACTATGAAAATATTGGTTTCACATATATCAAAATCTAAATATAATGCTTTTTTTTTATATATTAAAATATACATTGAAAGCAATGAGAAAGTGCTAACATAGGTAGGTCTACATGTCTCATTTCTTGCCAAACATACAATGTAAAAACACTTAAAACAATAAACCAAAGATGAGAGATAGAAACAAAAGAGGGTTAACAAATTAACCATAGCTTCAAGAGGTTCTTGATGTCTCCTCCTTAATTCTTTAAAATTCATTATTGTAGCCTTAATTTTGGTTGCCAAACAATCATTTTCTTGATCTCACCTAGAAACCTAATACCCTGAACGTTACCTTATCATTTATATGAGTTTTAACAATAAAGATACACTATCATTGTATATAAGACAAGTTTGTATCAAACTGACCCTGTCACTGATTCCAATGGGAATGAATCATGTTAGTCCCACAAATGAAAGGTACTAAACTCGGCTCACAGTCTGCGCTTGATGATAGCACAGACTTCATGAAATACCGGTACTCCAAAATTCTTTTTCTTTAACACTCCTCCTTAAAAAAACAGTCCTAAAAGAGTACATACTTTCAGTGTATATACAGTGTATATGTATTTTTTTTAATTTATTTATTTATTTTTTTTTTTTTTGGGGGGGGGGGGGGCAGGCACAACCCTCCCTGACATGAAGCTAAAAAATTGTGCCCTCCTTTACAAAATCCTTGATTCACCCCCCCCCCCCCCTATATCAATATTCTGAAGTAACAATACATAATTTTATACTCCTTGGAATGTTTCTGACAAAGATACATAGCAAAAATAAATGCAATCAATACACAAATATGATGTGATGAACTGTAAGCCTCACCTCAAAAATCATACAATAAATTATACAGATATTAACGATACAAATTAAATGTGCATGATTACAACTATAAACATTAGTACACACTATTATCAAGTAATTTCATAAAGGTGACATATTGCATACAAATATGATTAACAGTATAACAAACAAAAATCACTACATGTTAAAATGTAAGTAATCTATAAAATATAGCTCCACACATTTAAGTACTAGTTACAGACATAAATTATTTTCCTCCAATAAATCATATTGTCAGAATCTATGTGTGGATTGTGCCAAATATATCATTATCAATGCTAAATATGAAGCGAGTCATGAATTACCTATTAATTTTCATGGACGTGCATTATTTTCTTTATTGGGACAAGAAGACATTTTCCACCTTACAAATCATCAGATCATATTCATAAAACTTTTTACCAATTCTTCTAATGCACAGGTGGGATTTTTTTTTCATTGACAGGTAACATTCTTACAAACAGATTGAGTTATTGCATTTGTTTGTGCATTATTTTATTCACTTTAATCTAATACCTTCTTGGTTCATCTTCAAAACTATGTTCTTTCCTATGACTAGCCCTACGAGCATTGATGGTGGATAGTCTTTCATAGGCTTCCTGTATCTCCATGAAACGATGAGATGCTTCTTCCTTGCCTTGTCCTTTGTGTTTATCAGGATGCCACTTACGGACAAGCTTACGATACCGCTGGGTGATCTGTTCTTGGGTGGCTCCTTTCTTTAAATCTAAGGTCTAAAAACGAATAAAAATACAAATGAAGAGGCTCATGCTGTTAGTATATAAGAATCGTTGAGGTGAATCATTTACAGTTTACAAAACATTAAAACTAAAGATTGCATTCAAAAGTGCTTCTTAAGATAATGGCGATCAAAATCAAGAGCATTTTCTCCTACTTTAATTTTGTGACTCAATTTCTACTTGGAAAATCTACTGGCGACAAAAATGGCACTTCAGTACAGAAATGCAATATTTGACGGCCAAACAGAATTGGTTCAGAAGTGATACAAACTTGGTCGGCATTGTGCACACTTGTAAAATCGTGCCTGATTCTCCCCAAGGAGTGAAGAATGCCTACATGATTTGTGTGGGAGAGCCTTAATCCAACACTACCACCCTGTAGTATTTTCCACGATAACTGTGCTTTCATGACTTATAAGCCCAGAGTCTAGCACATAATTTTACAACAAATTAATAAAATTTGAACAATAATTTGGCATACAGCAGCATCCAAAACCTTTGTGCTGCACTAAAAAATTGCAATCTCCCTATACCAATTCACACAAAGCTTGATCACATTTATGAATCACTAATTAGGTGGTTATTCAAACATATCAAATTATGAAAACAAAATTTTATATTTATATTCTCATTCTGTACGTTTAATACTCTATTTAAGTACCAAATTTCAACATTTTTGTTTGCTCCAATATCAGAGGGGTGAAATCTGACCTGAACTCTCAGGTTGTTAGATGGTCTAAATTAACCCTCTCTTTTGGGGGTTTCACGCTTAGAGACAAAGTGCAAGCATTAAAGGTATAGAACAGTTTTGGAAACGCCCCCCTCTCAAAAAATGTAATGGAAGCTCTTTATTACCAATCATGTGAAAGAATATTTTGAATAATACGTGATGATACGAATTTTGCCCGGAAACCGCCTTCTAATTTATATATTTGGTAAATTATTATATCTATCTGGACCGAATAGACATCGCGCACATGTCGCGTAGTCCCATATACATCTTTCTATGTACAGTGCTTGTAACTTTACCAAGACTGGGCAAAATTTGTTATCATTTTGATGATTCCAGAACCTTGCAGTACACACCTATGCTAGATGATCAACCTTTTCTGATCGATTCCACAACGTTTCTTTCACAATGCAATTGCATGACCAGAATTGGTCTTTACCTTACTTGATTATAATTTTGATCTGGGGTAAGAAGAGGGTGATGGTGTCTCACCTTATGAGCAGAGGCTTCTCCTTCCGGATCTAAGGCTTCGACAAACTCATTATAAGCCTCCTTCCAACCCCGCTCTCGAATCAAGGTCCAGACGTGGCCCAAGACCTCCTTGAAGTCCTTCCAGGCTGGTGACTCAAAGAAATGGGCGAGAGCGTCCTTCACATAGATGGTCTCTCCTTCAGCAGTAGTCACGGATACGTTGTAGTATATGGCACAGCCCCAAGCAGTACAAACTAAAGCTCCTGCAAATGAGATGAAGGTTATCCAATTACGGTCTATGACAGGGGTTCACAAACTTTTTCCTTAACGGTCCAGATGGGTATTAAATGAAAGTGAAAAGCCCCGCAAAACAATGGGCAAATCTAGTTTATCTAATCAATTATTATTGTTACAAAAATTTCTCAAACTTAACATTTTAATAGAGTATCTCATGAAGAATAACTTCATGAATTTTCATATCTATGTCTCAAATGGTTTTTGAATAATCACTAATTAACTAGTCACATGGGTCGCGAAGTGACAATATTGCATTGTGAACAGTACATACAGGTAATGCATGGGGAAATGTTCATTTTGGCCATGCACAGCGCAGGGATTTTTGACACTGTGCATTAACAATGGTACCCTTTGGTAACAATTATATAAATTTGGTATCAAAAGATAGGGAGCCGGGTGGATTCTGCCTTTGAGAAGCCCTGGGGGGTGTTTCACAAAGATCCTAAGTTGAACTTATCTCTAAGTTGGACTTAACAATTACGGAAAGCCGTTAGTATCCTTGAAAATATTTGTAAAAAAATTATTTAAAAAGGCATAAAATGATGATTCAAATCATTCATATTTTCTATTATCAAGGTGATTTCATGTTCTTGATGTGCAATTTATGAAAAGTCTAAAAATCCTTGAATTTCTGCTTTTGAATGTATTTTATTTTAAGGCTACAAGTGGCTCTCCACAATTGTTAAGTCTAACTTAGGGATAAGTTCTACTTAGAATCTTTGTGAAACACCCTCCTGGTCTATGACAAGACCAACGGCTTATTTCACCACACTCTATTTCTAATGTAATGTTGTTTAATGCATTCTTATTTTATTGTTTTTTTAAGAAGTTGATTGAATTAAATTGAATTAATATCTTTATTTATACACCGTTAAAAAGCCCTAAATATAACGTTTTTCAATTCTACATTGCTTATAAATTGCTTTCAATGGCAATACTATAAAACCGATAACTTTACAAACTGATAATGACAGCTATTTTGGTAGCACAAAACTTTTGAAAATAGCAAGTTTATACTTAGAATCAAATATTTCAATCTGATTTGAACAATTCATGGCATCAAAATTCTGTGAATCATCTTCTAATGAATTTATGTCACCAACCTACGACCTACATGTACCTGCTAATCCTAAGATGACTATTCTTTTACAGACACCATCTGTTTTCCATCTTTCTGGCGTCTGTCTGTAGGCAACACCCCTCCTGAAGACAATGGCACTGAATATCGACAGATAAACTATATTACTTGGGTCGGCATACAGAAGAATACCTGGAATGTATGCTCCAAGGAGAGCATATTTCAAAGGACCTTCCTCTCTGCCAATGTTCCCGACTAAATGTACTCCAAGCGCTACAGCGAATGGTGCAAGGAGAGGTCGCAAGATGGGGAGGGCGTCTGCAACATCGTTCGGTACTGCACACGTTGCAAGATACCCAAAGAAAGCGCTGACAAACAGTTGACCTGCGAATCTGGATATACTGAAGGATGGGTAGTTTCGAGTTCTTAAGAGCTCAGTGTAGTACTTGACATATGACGATTCATCATTAGCTGTATCGACGTAACGACCGATACAGAAGAGATCTCGGAGCCATCCAAGACCAAAGAATCCACCTAACGTACACCACCACACAAATGCATGTCTGTCTCTCCCGAGGTAGAAATGATGTAGGCCAAACCATCCTCCTGTCATCCATAAGAAATAGGCGATACTTCTCTTCTTCTCCATCATATGGCTTGTCTTCTGCAGGCAAACTCACAAAGTTATGATGATGGGTAGCTCATACTCACATGGAACGAACTGAGCTCTATGTGGCTGATCTAGGATGTCACCCAGATAGATTTGTACTTTATCTGTATGATATAGGGGAATTATAAGGGGAATTGTTGTTATGAATGCTTATGGCGGTATTCATTCGCTTACTGATTATCACTGTTATACATGTAGTCATGCACTTTAAAAAGTCTTAACAGTTGGAGTCTCTATTATTTCATCCTCTCATCCAATCAAATCAGACACAATCAATTCTGTCTCCTGTAATTGACAAATGGGGAGAAAAGAAAGCTCCTAACCTCATCTCATCATGGCTGGCAAAAAATGTAATAAAATTAATGCTGGTTTAATTTAAATCATCAAATGAAACCAAGGCACAGATTGAATTAAAACTTTATCTTCTTCTTCTTCTTCTTCCAGTTAAGTGCTGCTTCAAGGTGATGAAGATAATCGCACTGACCTCTAGATATAATTCACAATGCCAATTTATATTTATGTGTCTATAGTTTATCATGAAAATTATTTTGTACAAGCTTGCAGTTTTTAAATTTTATGCACTTCATAATCTTGGTTCCAGAGTTTGATCAGTGGTGCATATCCAACATTGCAAAATTCATGGATAGTCAGTTTATATATATTTTTTATGAATAAAATGTCAGAAATCCTGCACCACTGATCAAACTCTGGAACCAAGATTACGAAGTGCATAAAATTAAAAAACTGCAAGCTTGTTCAAAATAATTTTCATGATAAACTAGAGTAGAGTCTAGACACATAAATATAAATTGGCATTGTGAATTATATCTAGAGGTCTACCCCATTTCATTTGTCTTTCTTTGTTCTTTGTTCTTTTCTTTTTGTCAACTTACTTTCACAAATATACAGAGCATTGTACTGGCATTCAATGCATTGTATTGCAAAAATTTCACAGCATTTTAATTTCACGAATCCTCGAGAAATTCAGTGTCATGTACACATATACATGTATTTCTGGATTTACAGTATTGCATTTCCTCATACATGTTTATCCTGTCTTTATGTCAGTTTTCCCACTAATCAAAACGAATGAGAAAAAAATCTGAACATTCTCAGGAAAAGTGCCTCATAAGAACAAAGCGGAAATCCCCACTTGAGAAAATGATGATTGCAGTGGTAACCAGAGACTATAAAAATAATGTACCATTCTGATGGTATGGGGAAACTTGTGGTGTCTCTAACGGCTTCTATTCTTTAACGCAGTGAGGAAAATATTCACAATTCATAGGAAGTCATGATAACACGAATGACATCATTGGAAGTGAGCTTGCAAATTTTTATTTTTTGATTGGTCATGTGAGCTGTATATGTACCATACGGTAGTCACCAGTGTAGAAAATACATTTCATCTATTCTGAGCCAAATTGGTGTTAACTCTGTGTTAGTGATTATCTGTTGCTGGTCACAAGCAGTTAGTGTTTATTTTAGTTTTTCTTGAAAAAAGGTGATATTTTCGTTCAGATATTTTAGTTCTGAAGCTCTTTTAGCACTTTCCAGCCGAACCATAGACTTACAATACAGGTTACAATGACAACTGCACTGTGGTGAATTCCTCTGCAAACTTCAACCATGAACTAAAAATTATGGTCAACCCTAACCCAACCTTAAAACTAACTCCAACTATAACCCTGACCGGCTGACCCTGTACCTTACACAAAACAAAGCCCAGAGCAAATGTCACCCAGACAAGTGTTGGCCCATGCATCCTAATCACCCTCCACTCGACCGGTCCTCCTCTATTTACAAGACGACAACAAATGCTTACATGTATCTAGAGTGTGTAGAGGTGTGAATATATCAAGCCAATTAGCATAATTTGCTGAGATGTAGGTAAACACAGTCAGAGTGAAGTATACCCAAACAACATCTTCAACCACTCACTGTTTGAGTAGCTCTTCATCTCTACATACAGGTCCTTCCCCAAACCATCTCAACCAAGTTCTTTCATCACTTAGCTGCGATGGGTGAACTCAAGGACAACTTCAGGCCATTCGTTAGTAGTGAACTATATCATCAGCTGAGTACCAGAAAGGCACTTACTCTTAGGATTTACATAACGTTAATGCCCTTCTGGCTCTCAAAAAAGACAATGTGCAAGCCACACATGGGACACACATTCTCTGACAAAAATAAGGGTGCATGTTGCACAAGTGGTTGGTTACAATTGTATTTTAAGTATTTTCGATTTAGCAGTTCACCACTTGGATGATACGCTAGTAATGTACATGTACAAGAAAAACTTAATGTGCTTCTTTGGTCTTGGATGATATCTGAACTTAACAAGGGATATGAAATCTAAGATGGGAGTTGCTGCTACCTCGTTTGGTGCTCAACAATAAGGGATAGAGCAACGTCGATCTGGCGCTGCTCAGTGGCTGCCGGGCTCACGATCAATTGGGCAAAAAGAATTTCCATTTTCGGTTTTACTTAATAAAATTTGGAGTGGACTTTAAAATTATTTATTATTATTAAAAACATCTATGGGCCAGTAGGCAAAAGTAGTACAAGTTGCCAGTTGTACAATAGCATTTTGAGTATTTTTATGATTTGGCACACAGTTTAGTCCCTTACTTACTGTACACCTAGACAAACAAGTTAATCTGTGAAGGGCTACACACCTAGATTATAAATGCACGTGCAAGTACTATACAGAACTATCACTTAACCTCAGAATCACATTTTTTGTTTACAATGTGGAAGTAATTTAGATAAGAATTTAGACTTTTCTCCGATCAAAAATTAAAAACACAATTTTGTCGGGATAGAAATTCAGTGTACGGGTGTATGCATATCATTCCAAATAATATGATAAGTACATTTTCTGGTCACAAGCCAATATGGACTTTGAACAATTATAACATCATAAAGAGATATCTCCAGATAGATTTTTTTATTCTTGTCAACAAAATCAAAAGAAGCTTGTTGGTACACGCATGTCGGCTGCAACTACAATGTATACAAAATATGATACACTATAAACACATATTACTTCCTTTCATCACTTCGTATGATACAAATATTAGCATTAGCTAAACTGCTACTTCTCAATGTATTTTTTTCTTCACTTATCATTAGTCTCATTTATTACATATATATATATTTAAAAAAATCATAACAATTAAAACATAGTTAGGAAGAATTCTGATGGTGTGTCAAGAGCTGATAAAAATGCAGGATAAATTAAAGAAATGGATGTAGTCACAAGCAAACACAGAGGATGAAAGATGTGGGGGAGGCAAGAAAATGTTGCCAATCAATAATGACAGGATACTATTAAAATTTGATAAGCTCATGTAATACAATGCCAGTATCCGCCACTCGGTCCCTCAAGGAACTTTGTAGTGAAATTACATGTATCTTTAAATTCTGAAGGAAAACATTAGAATGGAAGACAAAACCACTGGAAAAGGTTTTATGAAGATTAGAAAGCTTAAATGTCTAAAGAAAAGGGAAAAATCAAAGTCATTTCTGGACAGCCAAATCCCTCCCTTAGGCAAGTTGAGGGAAATTTGAAAGAGAAAATCCACTCTGTATTAGTAAAAGAGCTAATAATAACAAAGAACTGTAGTGCATGAATCGACTGCTAGTACCCACCCCAACCCCAACCCCACCCGACTTTAAATAATGAATGTGCCCAAACTACTTAACAATGTATGGTAATGAATAAGATGAAACAAGATGAGAGCTTGTGAAAGGGGGAGAAATATTACAAAAATGAAAGGAAAAAGCCTCAAGTTGTCATGTCAGTCGATAGTGTGTATGACAACCAGACTAGTACCATGTTTGCATAATTTTGATGGGTGCAGTATTTCCTTTCATCAAGTTCACGAATAAATGCATTAGGTACAGAGTGAACAATATCTGAAGCATCCTGGGAGAGTACATGTAGTTTATGCTTTCATGTAGTAATACAGGACATACCGTACACTTTTACAACAGGGGTACAAAGTGCACAGGAAAAGTAACAATATAGTTGAGAGCCGCCCAAAGAGCAGGCATAGGGCATGGATACTTTGAAATTACTATAATCACTGTACATCTCTGTACATTGTAGGTTCGGTATAAAAAGCAATGAAAATGCCTGGCTAAGGTCTACCAGTATGTAAACAAAATACCACATTGCATGTAGTGTACATTGTAGGAGCCGCTAGATGAAATGAACTAATGAACAAATTTAGAATACTTGGAACATACATGTGTATGCAGTTAAACCCAAAGCTGTCATAGGCAGCTAATCATGGGGAAATAAGCAAAAAAATGCGCAGATTATAGAAAAGTACAGTAACTGGAATGTGAAGTTTCCTCAAAACAAACACATTTCATGTTTTCATATTAGACAGTGGTATAATTTATATACTGTAATGACACGTTCTTCCTTTTTGTAGATGTTTTCCCACATCTATGTTATTGTTGTTGTTGTTGTAGATACATTTAGTCTATTTTCATATTGTGTAAATTATATTTTGTGTGTGTTCATTGCCTATTATTATGAGTACATTGATTATTCTGATTGTATGTTTTATCTTGGCTTGGATCCCTTTGAAAAAGAGCAATACATCCCATAGGTTGATAAATAAATAAATAAAAAAATAGCCATAGCCTAATAAAAGAGGCAGAATAAATCAATTTTGGGGATATACAGTTATACATGTTACCCAGTAGGCCATTGATCTATTTTATCTAGTTGAAAGCTACTGCAATCATGAGTGAAGGAAGAAAAACAAGGCAGAAACCCATATTAATTCATGAAAATTGCAAACAAGCAGGGTAGGCAGTTCCCTGTAATACCTCAGTCACACATACCGCCAAACCGACCGATTCTCAGCCAGTCTAGGTATTAAACTATTTCATTCGGTCTGATGTTGGTCTGGTTTCGGTCTCCTTGGTGTGAATAGGGTCTAACTAGTGATATCTCAACAGGTTTATTCATTCAAATGGAGCCCAAATTAGCAGTGTAAAAGCATAGCAAATATAGTCTTTGATTAAAGGAAGCAATATCATTTGCTGATGGCAAAACCAGTACACATCAC